TAGGTGCAGGGGACCAGTGGTGAGCCCTAGTTAAAGCTGTTTGTCAAGCACCTTGGGCACTCTTCTAAGAGCCTCACCTTCATGAACTCACGGACTCTCAGGGGTTCTGATAACACCTATCTTACAAAAGGGAGGAAGCAGAAGCCTGGAGAGTTTAAGGGAGTATTTCCTGCGCACCAGGAACCTAACTCTCTGGGGTGGGGAGACTAGACAGCAAGAAATAATGGTTCAGTGATAAGTAGCATGTGGACAATAACGCAGGATGGAATGAGAGAGATGGCTTTGGGGAGGAGGGAGGGCCTCTTGGAGGGAGTGGCATTTGAAACTTGAAGGAAGCCAAGAAGGCAGCCTAGGGGTGGACTTGAGGCAGGGAGTGTTCTCCGTAGAAAGAGGATGAAAAAGCAAAGACCCGGAAGCCATGACCAACTGAGGAAAGAGGCCAGTGTGGTTGGAAGAGGGTGAGCAAGGGAAGGGTTTTGGGAGCTGAGTCAGATTGTAACACTCTGCAGGCCAGAGAGTAACAACAGTTCTACTTGCCAGGTGTGTCATCTCGCCTAACTTCCTGCATTCGCCCTGCAGCCTGACAGAGCAGGGGTTGGCAAAGTGCAGCCCACAGCCAACTGCAGCTCACCGCCTGTTTTTGTAAAGTTATATTGGACACAGCCACACTCCTTTGACTACATATTGTCTATGACTGTGGCACTACTTCACAGCAGAGCTGAGTAGAGACCATGCAAAGTCAAAAATATTTACTACCTAGGTTTTTTTTTTTTTCAAGTTGTAGATGAACACAATACCTTTGTTTTATTTATTTTTATGTGGAGCTGAGGACCGAACCCACATAAAAATAAAAAACCCACTTGTGAGAACCTCACAAGTGCTAGGCAAGTGCTCCACCACCGAGCCACAACCCCAGTCTCTACTATCTGATTCTTTATAGAAAAAGCTTGCTGACCCTGCAATGGAGACCACTTGATCTTCACTTTGCAGATGGGGACACTGCACAGCTAGTAAACAGCAGAGCTGAGAGTTTAGCCTAGGCAGCTTGAGTTGGGGGGGCATATATGCAAGCCCTATGCTCCGATGGCTTCCTGAGTCACATCAGGGGTGTAGGACAGCAGGAACTTGTCCTCTGAGGGAGGTGGGAGCCCCATCAGGGTTCTGAATGGAGGAGAGGCATGAATTGACCCAGAAGCTCGGGGTTGGGAGTACCTTCTGGCTGATGGTTGAGAGTAGAATGAGTGAGGGTAAGGATGATGGAAGAGAGACCTTTCGTGCAGACAGGGTGGGCTTTCCTCTGCCATCTTGACTCTTCCATCTGCTGTAGTTGTGTTTGTGAATTTTCTCCTGCTTCCTCTTTCTCTCGCCTCTCAGTTTCCTCTTCCTCCAGAGATTCACTTCCCCCCTCTGTGCCCTGCCCTTCTCAGGCCCGGGGCCCCTTGACTTGCTCCTCTCCCTAGGGATTGTCTGGGGCAGAAGACAGTGGGAGTGCAGTGCTGCCATGGGCCTAGAGCAGTTGGCAGCACTGTGGCTGAGCGTGAGCATCCTGGGCCTTCCTCCTGCCCCAGGTCTGGGAGCTGCATGGGGCCAAGTTGGGAGAAGCTCACTGTGCAAGGACATATTGCCATTGTCACCAGCCTCATGTGTGGAGACACTGCTGAGTGGCAGAAACACAAAGCAAGGACACAGTGACATGGGCTGTAGTCACTGTAGCCCCATAAGGATGTGGTACATATGCTCTCCCACAGAGACTGAAATATGGGCAATGTCCCACAATCTTACATTCACCTCTCAGAGTTGCAGTGGACACACAGGGGCTCATGCCTAAACCAGGACACATGGAGTGCGACACCTGCAGCAGTCACAGCCCACACATACAGATACAAACAGAGTGTCACCCCATCACATAAACACAGCCCAACCTTGGAGCTTCATTGGGACATGACACAAGCAGAGACTTCAATAGCAAAACAGTCACACCAATATATTCCATAGGGTCATGGTCACCACCACCACATACCAGACATAGATTCAGACAGTTACAGACACACATCTCAGCATCAGAGCTCCTCAGGAAATGGACACCCCCCAGGCAGTTACACAAACATCCTTCCTGGGGTCATGGTCACCCCACATCACACACACAGGTTTGACATATGTCACAGTCACAGACTGCCAGTGGTCCTACCCACTGTCTTGACATTTCACCGCCATCCCCACTCCCCTGGGGAGTTCCATGTGGCCCACTGATGGCCACGACCTTGTCACACCCAGGGTCCCAGACAGTGCAGCTCCCACACACCCAGACACACCCCCGGGGTCCCCAAGGCCCTCAAGCCCGGCACTGCCTGTGGACAAGCGCTGGCTTCGCGCTGTGGCGGTCGCCCCGCCCGCCGGTGACACACCCCGCCCACCTGCCCGGGGCTGCCGCCGAGCTGGCGCGGGGGAAGGCAAAGTGTGGGCTCAGCACCTTCACCAGCCGCGTGCGCGGTCCGGGCCCTGCCACCCTGGCACCGTGGCCCGCTGGGTGGCCCGGCTCAGTCGGGACACGTCTGCGCCGCCCGCACCAACCGCAGGGGCAGGGGCAGGGGCAGGGCCGGGGTTCGGGGCGCTCCGCTGCCTTCCCGCCAGCCCCGCCCGGGACAGCGCGGCCGTCCGTCGGGGGAAGTCGTGGGGGGAGCCTGGGTTCCGGCTGGAGCCCCGGCTTCCCGTCCGGCCGACGGGCAGGAAGCGGCCAGGGGAGGCCAGCTCAGGCCTTCCTGCCGGCTCCGGGGATGGGGTCGGTATGGGGGAGGAGCGGGGGAGCCCCCTTCCCGCCAGGTCTCTGGGCGTCCCAGTGCTAGGTGTGTCCTGGTTCCAGTAGAAACTCACAGGTGTGATCAGGCCCCGTGTGTGCACCTGGAGGGGGGGGGTCTCCAACAAGTGTGGTGGCTCTAAGCCGCTGGCCTGGCACCTCTTGGCCTTTGGTGGGTGGTGGTGGCAGCGGGTGCGCCCCAGCACGTGTTCGGCTCCGTGTCTGTGGCTGCGCTGCATTTCTGTTGAGTGTGTCTGCTGGTTCATGTTTCTGCTGGACACGCCGGGGTACTTTCCATGGGCTCCATGTCCTGGCACTGACTGGTGAGTCTGTGTACCAGTGGGTCGCTAGTTTTTTCTTTTTCCCTCCCCCTCAACGTCTTCCCGGTTCTCTTGGTGTAAATTTCTATGTTCTTAGTGTAAATTCAACCTGAAATTTGGGTGTTTTCTGCATGCTTATAGGTCTGTGATAAAGATGTTTCCAGGAGGTGTTGTGTGTTGTGTATTTGGCTTTTAAAGGAAGTTTTTGGTACACATGTGTGATTGTTGCCAGTGTCTGTGTGTCTGTACATGTTTTTTTTTTTTGTGGTGCTAGGGGTGAATCCGAGGCCTGGAGCATGTTGGGCAAGTGCTCTACCACTAAGCTCCGCCCCAGCCCTAGTGTGTGATCAGTGTGTGATCCCCGTGTGCCTTGCTGGTATTCTGAGGACTTTTGTGTTCTGCAGATGGTGTGTTTCTGTGGCTCTTGCAGTCTGTGTGGGAGGCTGTACTTCCGGACTGTGTGGCTTGTGTGTGTCCATCTCAGGGACTGGTATTTTCAGCCTGTGTGGGCAGCTGCAAGCAGGTGGAGTCTGCATTGGTGTCCCTACCTGTAGGCTGGTGGCTCCAGAGTGTGAGAGCACTGGGAGATCTCAGCAGGAGTGGATGTGGGTCTGTATTGTGTGCCAGTGTTTTCAAGGAAGGGAGACCTCCTGTCCTGTGAAGCCACTGGCATCATCTGGTTGACCAGTGTCCACCCATTGGCCTTTGTGCTGAGTAAGTGGAGGCTGCGTCTGCGGCGTCCCCTTGCCTGCTGGTGCCACGTTGGCTCAGGGCTGGCGGTGGCAGCGGGCAGGGCAGGGGCTGTGGTGGGCACTGGCCCCACGCCCAGCCTTGGTATAAATATCCCCAGGCTGCCTGCGGCTGTGTTTACTCAGCCCCAGCCCCGGGGGCGGCAGCAGCCCAGCAGGTCTAGGGGTGGGGGTGACCAGGCCACAGCACAGACATTTCCTTCTGGCCAGACAGACCCAAAGCCTTACTGCCCCCTCCAGCCTAGGGGCAAGGTGGTGACCCCTAATTCTGGGCCCCCAGCGGAGCTGACTTGGACATCCAATTAGGCTTCCTGGATCTGGGAGACACAGATGGAAATGGGGGCCCAGGGAGGGCTGGGCATGGAGGGACAGGAAAAAATGAGGGTGAAGGCCAGAGGACCTGGAGGGAGAGAGGGATGGGGAAACAGGGTTAGTGAGACAGTAGCTGAAACCCAGGGGCCCAGGAGAAAAGGACAAATGCAGGAAGAAAAGTGAAAAGGGGGAAAGAAGGAGAAGCAAGGGAAATGGAGGGAGAAGAGGGGCCCGCAGGGGATGGAAAGTCACAGGAAGACGCTGACAGCCGGAGACGCAGAGACCGAATAAGACGGGGGAGGGAGGGAAGCCAAAGATCTGAAGGAAACAAGAGGAGGGCACAGGGCAGGCAGAGACCTCAAGACAGGAGCTGAGGGAGGGAGGAGCAGGGAGTCGCTTTGGCTCTGGCAGGACACACAGAGGTGTGGACGTGGGGGGTGGGGGTAGCAGCCAGCAGAACCCGGTCAGAGCCAGGACAGACGGGAGACAACGGGGTGGGGGCCGGATGCCCACAGAGGGGCTCTTCCCCAGAAGGGCCCTCCCTCCCTGACTCAGCCTCTCCACCCACCCCATCCCCACAACTGGGAGTGAAGGGAGAGGTGCCCACGGTGGGGGCTGCTCCCAGGGGGTGTGTCTCTTGCATCCCTGCCTGATCCTGTCTCCACCTCTCTTCCTGTCTGCTCATCTAATCCCCATCCCTGTGACGGGCTCCACCTCTGTCTCAGCTACAGCGCTCGCTCATGTCTCTACCATCTGACTAACGCCGATTCTGACTCAATTGCTGCGCCTCTTGTCGCTCTTACAAAATTACATAACCAATTTACGTATGGCAAAGTATATCACCAACAAATTTAATGATCAAATAGACTAAAGAAAGGCTGATACCTACACCAAGGAAAAGTGCCCATGGAGCACGTACCCAGGAGACATTCTCATGTCTGGAGCTCCTTTTCCCCAGCAGGGGTCCCGAGTCCAGCAGGCTGGATTATTTTGGGCCCTACTGTTTCATCTCCTCCGGGAGACAGAATTAGTGACACTGACCACACACACCCTGCACAGGACTGCTGTGACAACCAGTGACCCTGGCTTTTGTGTGGAGATGGTCTGTGAAGGATAGCGCCTGGCTCTTGGGAGGCCCCCTGGTGTCACAGTGTGCAGTCCTCCTCCCACCTCTCTACCTGTCTTGATTGGGTAGCCCCATATCTAACAGGAAGCTGGCAGGATGGTTTCTGGGACCTGGGTTCCCATCTCAGCTCTGCCTCAGAGGCCTGAGTGGCCTTGAAGCATCTGTTCCCGGGCTCCTTGACCAGCTGCAAAAGAGCCAATGTCTGCTTGGAGGCTTCAGCCCAGCATCAGGCACCTGGCAGGGCCTGGCACAGGTCCCGACTGCTTAGCAGCTCTCATTATTTAACAGTTTCTCCATCTGCACATCCACTGCCTCCATTCAGCTCTAACTTTCCATGTCTGGTGCTGATCGTTCTTGATCTAGAGGCCGGGGTCAGGAACCATAGCCCCAGGAGGCACTTCTGAGGGTCCTTCAAGGCTGGCTAGGGCAGGATGTCGCAATTCCTTCTCACAAGTGAAGTGCTCCTGGGCTCAGCCTCATCAACCCTTGGCCTGAGCTACCACCCCCAAAGTGGCCTGTCCTTTCTGTCTGCCGGGGGAGCAAGGGCTGGGTGTGGGGGCATGGGAAGGTGGGACGCCTGGGTTCCCACAGCTATGGCTGAGTCACAGGCAGCCATCTGGCTCCCATTAGCCCAGGGCGGCAGGGGGCTCTGTGGGGCGGGCCCTGTGGCTGGCTGGGGGCAGGGATGCTGCTGGGGCAGGCTGCGTGTGTGGGATGACTCAGGGCCCATGATAACAGCCTGTGCGTATTTGGGGAGTGTAAACAGGAGAGGGAGAGGGAGGGAGAGGGAGGCAGAGGAAGCGAAGGAAGGGAAACTTGTGGCTGGGTGGGAGAGTGGGGTGGGGAGAGTCCCCTTTGCACACCCCAGCTGGCAGGCCACATGACCCCTAGACCCATTTCTGCGCAGCCCTCTGGGTCCCCCTTGCTCCCAGCCCCTTGCAGACAGGGCTCTGCTGCTCTCTGCAGCCAGGTCTGGCGGTGTGTGTGTGTTTCTGTGTGCACAGGCACAGGGCTGGGCTGGGGGGGGTGACTGAAACCCAGAGAGATAAGGACTGAGACAGAAAGGGACAGAGGCAGCATGAGGCTGAGAGAGAAATGGAATGTACAGGCAGAAAGAACAATGGGCCCAGAGAGAGGCCAGAAGAAAGATGGGAACCTAACAGAAGCAGAGTTGCAGATGTGGCAGAGATGGAGGGCAGCAGGGTAGAGAGCCAGGAGCCAGAGCAAAGCTGTGTGGGGCCCAGGCACAGCCCCCTCTCCCAGGTTGTTGGGCACTGGAATCACTCTAGCCAGTCCAGCCACCATGGGTCCCACTGGCTGGCCTCAGCCCAGGAGGAACATTTATCCCCTGCTGTGGGGACAGAGCCCAGGGCACAGAGTGGGAGAATGGGGGAGGTAGACACAGTGGCCAGACCTGGGAAGAGGGAGGAAGGGGGCAGTGATAGATGGCGAGAGACAGGGACAGACAGATGGGACAGGAGAGAGTGGGGAACGAAGGAGAAGGGAAGGGAACTCCAGAAAGAGGTAGTGGTGTTGTTTGATGTGACACCAGACCCATGGGGCAGGGGTGCCACACTGCCGTCCCTCTGGAGAAAGAGTCACCGAGCCGGCCTGTAATCAGCTGCCTTGTTGGGGCTGGGAAGGGTGGGCAGCTGGCTTCGGGGTAGTAGCCATCAGTCCCCATCCAGTTCTGGGCTGGGAGCATCCTCAGGCTCTTCCTCATCAAAGTACTTCTCTTCCTCATCCCGTGCCACAATGTCCAAGTTGTCAAAGTCAGGGTTGTCGTCCACTGTGCTGCAGGGGAAGAAGGCTGTCAGGGAGCCCTGAGAGACCCAGGTCAAGGACATGGGAACCTTCTCTCCCCAAAGGTCAAAGGTCATATGATGGCAGCTGCCAGTTAGAACCAGCACTCAGAGGGGGATGCTATGCCTGTCCAGACTTAAAAGGGAAGGAAACATTTTCCAAGTTAAAGACTCTACATAAAAACTCTGGTTTCTTTTAAAAGCTGGAAGATGTGGCCACACAGGCCCACATGACTGAGGCAGGCGCTGGATGGCTGTGCCTCCCAGAACGCTTAGACACCTTGACTATCCTCACCAGGGGTGTGCTACTGCTCTCTAGTCTGGTAGAAGCCAGGGATGAAGCTAAACATCCTACCGCACAGGACAGACCACCCCCCATGACAAAGAACTGCCTGGCCCAAAGGTGGCAGGGGTGCCCAGGTGGAGAAGCCCTCTCGTAAGCCACTAAGTCACCCTCTCGGGCGTAGCTCTAACCCTCACAGGGCTCCTCATCATACTCACTGGGTCACCCAGACCTGTCCCATCTGAGCTCTCTCCCTCATCTTTCCAAAGCCACAGCCACCCTGCTGCTCCTCAGCCAAGGCAGGGCCCTGGCACCTGCTGCCCAGCCCCGCTCCTTCCCCGGGTATTTCTGTTTCTTACCCTCACCTCCTGAGGCCCCGTGCTCAGAGGTCAGCTCCTCAGGCCCCTCCCCGGCCTCCAGGCTCTGCTTCCTTCTGCTCCTTACCCTGCTTTGCTTTGCTTTAAAGTCTCATCCCAGTGTCTTTAAGCCCCTGGTGGGGACAATAAGATGTCAGTGCCCGGGGAGACAAAACTGTCCAATGTCTGCCTTAGAACATGGGCTGCGTGTCATCACATCTTCCAGCTCTATGAGAAGCCAGGCCAGTCTTCGTCTCCCTCACTGGAGGGGACCCTTTCCAGCAGGGAAACCTTTTGCTAGTTTGTTCCCTGCAAGCACCCAGAGCCTGCACACAGCAGACCCTCGGCATCTGCTGAGTGAAGGACCAGGTGAGGGGCCTGCATAGGCTGCTAAGCACAGGGTGGGTCTCCACTCCCTACTTCCTCAGGGGCACCTGGCTTGGGAGCAGCCATGGTGCCAGCTCACTGACCGGCCTCCCTCCCCCACCCCCCACGGGGGCTTGGCACTCTGCTCACCACTTCTTGGGTGGGAACTGAGGCTCTTGAGAGGCTCTGCTGCAGATGGCAGCAGATCTGCCACATTTGATTTCAGAGTGAGGGGATCCAACAATGGGTCAGCCATGCTCCAGTCCCCAGGTGCTGACCATGTGCTGAGCCTTGAGGTAATGGTGATCATGATTCCCATGTTAACAGTGAGCCCATCAAAGGCCCGTTTGCAGCCCCAGAGTTCATATGTCATTGAGGCTGGATATGAAACAAGAGGGCTCGCGGCTGTCAGACTATGTTCAGAACCATGAGGAACGCTGGCTCAGAGGACAAATCATTTACCACTGACTCTGATGCACCAGTTTCCTGTATCCTTATCCTGATGGCAAATCCTTTTCCTAAGTAGGTGGCCTATGTGTCCTCCCCAACCCCTGGGGCTATACTGTAGGGGTAACCACCACAGGCCCCTCCAGCTGGGGCAGTAACCCTGCCAGGGGTTAATTTCCTGCAGCGAGGAAGTGTGGGGTCCTGGGGAGGTGGCCGAATTTCCTGGACACATTGGGAGGGATTGGAGTAGTGGTTTCCTGCAAGGTCATAGTTACTTGCCAAAAGAGAAATGTTTTAATGTTTTATCAATAGTGAGCTACAATGTCAGGCCAGCTCACTCCCTTCCTTACAGATGAGGGGACTGAGAAAGACCAGGCTAGTCCAGGGCCACTTAGCCCCTGCCTCTGGTTGATCTGAAACCACAGGGCTGTCTGACCTCTGGGCCCACATCCTGAATCCATTCCAGGGCTCTCATGCAAAACAAAGAGAGGTGCATAGGGCCTGTTTGTGGCCGAGGGTCATGGGGTGCCGGGCTGGGGGAAGGGAAGGCAGGGCCCAGGAGCACCTGTAGTCAAAGTCCCCATCCTTGCCGTCTAGGAAGCGCTGGTGCATCCGGCTGGTGAACTCCTCCCGTAGGATCAGCCTCTCCTCCGAGTCGGGTACCCAGGTTTCTGAGTCTTTGCCTGCTCTCTGATCTGTGGAGGGAGACACCATGGGAGGGTGGCCTGAACATGTTCACACAGAGCTGTAGCTTCTGTGCTCTGCCCAGCTAGTCCCAGTAGCACAGAGAACACAGAGGTGACTGAGATAGCCTGGGTCCCCCAGGGGTACACATCAAACACGTGACAATGCAGTGCTCTGAAAGCTATATATCAGGGTCAGGACAGACCCGAAGGTGGAGAAGAAAGACCTTCTCAGTAGAGGGACAGGCATGATCAAAAGCTTGGAGTGAGGGATCCTTCAAAGAGTGCAGGGTAGAGAGGCTAGATACTAGAGATGGGAAGGGTGGGCAGGGAAACACGTCAGGCTGGGCAGACTGAGGCCTGGCTCAGGGCAGGTGTCCAAACACTGGGGTCTCCTTGCTGTTGGCCCTCACCTTCTTCATCACTATCTTCCTCCTCTTCTTCCTCCTCCAGGCAGGCCTCCTCCTCCTCTTGCTGCTGGAGCAGCCGCTGCTGCAGCTCTCGCTCCTGGTAAGACTGGAGCAGTAGGTCGGAGAGTGGGCAGGCAGGTGTGCCAGGGGAGCCAGGTCTGGGGTGCTGGGGCACTGGGGCGCGGGCACTGAGCTCCTCCTGGGTGAGGTACTGCCCAATGTACTGCTCATAGAGCAGGGGCGCCCGGAACCGCATCTGCTCATCACTGAAGTACTCACCCCCTGCAAAGATGAGAGCCAGAGTGGATGTGTCTTTAGTAGATGTGTGGTCGTGCTTGTAGGAAGATGTGTACACACACAAGTCTGTGTGTGTGTGTGTGCGTGTGTGTGTGTGCGCGCGCGCGCGCGCGCAGGTGCGCATGCTGCACGCTCACATGCAGATGCAGAGGGAAATATGCGGATATATGAGGCTATGGACATGAATACTCATGCTTGTGCTGAGTATGCGCACAATCAGGCCTGCATCTACCTGTGTATTCATGTGTCTGCACATGTGTGTGTGTGAGAGTGGGCCTAGAACATGTGGGTTTTTGAGGTGCTAGTTGTACAACTGTGCCTAGACAGGATTCAAAAGCTGCTGTCACATGTGTACAAACATCCCACTATGTGCCTTAGCATACTGTCCACAGGTACCTATGTCTGGGGATTGGCACATAGGACAACACAAACCAGCTGCATGTGCATCCTATGCCTGTTTGCTGAGCCTGCTTGGCTGTCTGGGTACAAGCCTGGACAAGCCTACACTGCTGGGCATGTATGTGTATCCATCTATGTGGATCTGAGTATGTATGCTAGCACAATTGGGTCAGGGGAGGCGTTTATCTGCCTGTGGGAGTGCCCAGCAGGGGCAGGGCTGTCCTGTGTGGCAGCAAGCACCAGATCTAACCTCTTCCCAGGGTGTTCCTTTGTGCAGCTTCCCTCTCAGGTGGGCCTGGTTTCTTCACTCAGGTCCTTTGCATCTCCTGGCTGTTTCTTCCTGAAGGAGTGGCATTGTCCCTCAGCTAACAGTTAAACCTGACCACAGCTCTTCCCATCTATGGGTCCTAGTTCTGACTCCAGAGTCCAGGGCCCAGAATCCACCCAGAATCCTGACCTGTACAGCACTGTGGTCTGTGATTGTCCCTACCTTGCTCAGCATTCCCAGTCCTGCCATCTCCTCATCCCTATCTATTTCTAGCATCTTCTACCAGATTTTTTTAAAAAAATATTTTATTAGTTGTCAATAGACCTTTATTTATTTGTATGTGGTGCTGAGGATCGAACCCAGTGCCTCACCCATGCTAGGCAAGCGCTCTACCACTGAGCCACAACCCCAGCCCTGCATCTACCTGTGTAGATTCTCTTTTTATCCCTCCTCCCTAGCTCAGACTGTCTCCCTCTTTCACTCTAGGTCCCTTGGTCTCTCTCCTTCTCCTGCTTTTTCCTTGCCTCTCAGTTTCCACATTTAACCCCACCTCCTTTCTTCATCCACTCATCCTCCTCCTTTCTTCATCCTTATTCACCTGTTCATCCCTGTGTTACTCTTCCTGTATCAATCTCTCTACAACTTGGGTCTTCCCCCTAATCAGAACTTAACTCACTTTCTACTTCATTTGCCCTTGTCTTTTAACTGGTTCTGGGAGTCTAGGTCACAAGATACTTTTAATTATGTCCTGGTCAAAAAGGCACCAATTGTTGGCAGTGGTGCATGCCTATAATCTTAATGGCTTGGGAGGCTGAGGCAAGTTCAAAGCTAGCCTCGGCAACTTAGCGAGACCCTGTCTCAAAAAATAAAAATAAAAAAAGGGCTGGGGATGTGGCTGAGTGGTCAAATGCCCCTGTGTTCAATCTCTAGTATGAAAAGAAAAGAAAGAGGGCCGGGGATGTGGCTCAAGCGGTAATGCACTTGCCTGGCATGCGCGGGGCTGCTGGGTATGATCATCAGCACCATATAAAATAAAATAAAGAATGTTTTCTTCATGGTTCTCATGTGTTTTTTTCAAGAAGACCCTTTTGTCCCCAAAGTCATAAATATTCCCTTTGGTTTCCACTAGTACCTTTGGGCATGGGGTGAGTTTTTCCTTAGGGACAACCGATGATGACAATGCAATGATCATACAGTTTTGTGTCATCTACTAAATTCTGTCATCTACTAAATTCTAAGTTCACTGTGTCCCCCATTCTCTTGCTCAGGCTCCTGTCCTCTCTGCTTTACGTTATGACAGACATTTCTCTGTCTCTCCCTGTGTCCCCCAGGATCTTTGTCTGTGCTCCTGCTCTCCTGCCCTTATTTCTCCCTCCCTCTGTCTCCACTTCCCATCTCCACCCCTTACCCATCAGCGCCCCACACCTTGGATGAGCTCACGCAGTGCAGCATAGCGCCGGTTACGCAGGCGAGTTCGCAGGGTGCGTGGCCTAGCAGTGCCCTGCCGGGCCACCTCAGCACAGTAGAAGTCGGCACGGTGGTCACCACGCAGGTGGCCAAAGCAGGCCAGGTGCTCCTCTCTGAGGCTTGTGCGGAAGCGCTCCAGGAATACTAGTGGCTTCTCATGGTACAGCTGGCCCAGGATGGCCACCTTCTCACGTTCTGTCAAGTCGGGCTCACCCTGCTGCTGGCTGCACACAGGCAGGCGGCTGGCAGCCACAGCATGCAGCATGGCACTGACTGCTGCATTCTCAGCCCTGGAGATGTCACTGTCCAGGGCCCCTGGTGGGCTCTCTGCTGCTTCCACCTTGCCCTCTGGTCTAGATGGGACTGGTGTCCAGGCCAGCTCACCCCAGTGCCCAGGTTTGGGCTCCGTGTGGCCTGTGAGGAGATGGGAGACTCGTTAGTTCAGGGATGGAGTGGGGAAAGGGGCAGAGGGAGGGTTTGGGTAGGAAGGGGCTTGGTGCTCACTTACTCAGTTCCTATTTATGATGAACCTATTATATTGTAGGCCCTAGAGAGACCACAGTGAGCAAGAGGTTGACATTTTAGTGGGAACACAGACAATTAACATAATTACTAAAAAAAATGTAGTGTTAGGTGTTTCCCTGGCTATGCAGAAAAACAAAGAAGGAAGGGGGAAGTTAATGGAGGATGGCTGCAATTTTAATGGAAGGGTCACAGAAGACTGCAAAAAAGTGACATCAGAGTAGAGACCTGAGGTAAGGAGTCGCTTAGTTATGAGACTTCTGGGGTAAGAAAGTTCCAGGCCAAGGAAATTGCCCATGCAAAGACCTTGAGGCCTGACTTACTGATTTACTCAATTCTTTGTCACTTGTTCATAAAATTATGAATACATTTACTAACTCGTTCACCTACCCATTCATTCATTTTTTTATGCATTCACACATTCATGTTTTAGCAACTCTACATCTGTGAGGCCCTGGGTTCAACAATGCAGAGGATTCACAGGAGGAATCCAGTCTAACTCCTGCCCTCATGGAGCACCCAGTCTTATGTAGGAGACAATCAAGATCAAACATAGTACACATGCTGGGTGTGGTGATCCACATCTGAAATCCCAGTTATTTGGGAGGCTGAGGCTGGAGAATTGCAACTTCAAGGTCAGCCTGGGCAATTTAGCAAGACCCTTAAAATAAAATGACAAGAGCTAGGGATGTAGCTTGGTGGCACAGCACCCCTGAATTCAATCCTCAGTATTAAAAAAAAAAGAAAAGAAAAGAAAAAGAAAGTGGTGGGGGGGAGGAAGAAAAAAGATGGACACTGGGGAAACTCTAGTAAGAGCTATTTCCTAAGTGTGGTGGGAGCTGCAGCAAGACTACAACAAGCAGGGATACGTCAAGATAAGTGGAGACAACTCTTTCAACTCTTTTAGGTAGCTTGCCTGGGATGGGGAGGACACAGGGGATGGTGGTTACAGGTTTCTTGGGTGTCAACTGACTGAGCAAGAGAAGACAGCTAGAGCAGGGGATGTGGAGGACGGAGAGGGAAAATAGGGGGGGGCTGGGAAGATGCTCATTAGGCTGAGAGTACAGGCCATGGAGCTGAAAGGCTAGAAGGTGAGGGAGGTGTCCAGGATAAGGTCCAGGGCTCTGGATTAGGGATGGCCAAATCATCCCTAAGACAGGGACGTGGATAAGAAAGAGGTCTGGCACATGGAAGTTATGATGCGCCCAGGGGGTGTTTAAAGGAGGTGTCTAAGACTGCTGGGACCCGGGTCTCCAGACTCCTCAGAGGAGAAGTGCTGGGCTGGAGACAGAGTTGTGGGTATCGTCAGAGCCAAGATAGGAAGTGGGGGTAGGAGACATTATGTGAGCAATGACAGGGAAGAGAGGCCAGGAAGGACTGAGTCGATGGGATGAGACTATAACTGTGAAAGTTAAAAACTGGCTTCCCCAGGGCTGGGACTTTGGCTCAGTTGGTAGAGTACTTGCCTCACATGCACAAGGCCCTGAGTTCAGTTCCCAGCAGTGCGTGCACACGTGCACGCATACACACACACACCCCACCCCCACTCACAAAAGAAAAAAAAAAAAAGACAAAAACACTGGCTTCCTCAAAGAGCTGTATCTTAATTTCTGGAACCTGACCAGTGCCTTTAATATGGAGGAAAAAAATGGCGGAGGGGGGGAGTCTTCATAGACATAAGTAAATTAAGGCCCTTGAGATGGAGAAATTTTTTTGGAGTATGTATCCAGGTGTGTCCTAAACATAATTACAAGAGTCCTATAAGAGAGGTTGAAGAAGATCTGACATAGAGCAAAAGGCAGTGTAAAGGAAGAAGCAGAGACTGAAGTGATGTGGCCACAAGCCAGGAATCACAGAAGCCATCACAGGCTGGGAAAAGACAAGAAACAGCCCAGAGCCTGTGAGGGGACCCTATGACACCCTGGTTTCAGTCCAGTGATACTGATTTTAGACTTCTGGCATTCGGAACAGTGAGAAAATAAATTTCTGTTATTGAAGACACTGAGTTTATGGCAATTTGTTTTAGGAGCCACAATAAACTAAGGCAAAGGCTCAGAAGCAGCAACCTGAGAAGAAGAAAGTCCGAGTGCCATGGAGGTACAAGTAAAAGAATGGAGGAGCCAATAGCATGAATACTCCAAGTAATCAAGTAAGGAAGAAATTGGATGCAGTGACTGTTTAAACTGTATAGGGACAAGTCACTGGGGAACCTTAATCAGAGCAATTTGGGAGAGTAAAAGCCAGACTACAGTGGATAGAAAGTGAGGGAATGGAGGCAAGTGTACGTGACTCTGGAGAAGATAAATGGTGTCTGGAAGGCAGCATGGGGCCAAAGGACAGATTTTCTTTTTAGGTTAGAAAAAATATTTTTTTTTTAAAAGAGAGAGTGAGAGAGGAGAGAGAGAGAGAATTTTTTTTTTAATATTTATTTTTTAGTTCTCGGCGGACACAACATCTTTGTTGGTATGTGGTGCTGAGGATCGAACCCGGGCCGCACACACGCCAGGCGAGCGCGCTACCGCTTGAGCCACATCCCTAGCCCCAGAAAAAATATTTTTATAGACTGGGCATGTAGCTCAGTGGTAGAGTGTGTGCTTGGCATGCGCAAAGCCTGTGGTTATCAAACCCCAGCGCCAACAAATAAAAAATTTTTAAAAAACCCTAAAATTTTGTTATGAAAAATTTCAAACACAAAATTAGAGTACACTGACAACCCTCCCCCAACATTCATATATCCACCATTCACTTCGACAATCACCAGCTCTTAACCAGAACCAATTTGAACCAATTTCCCAACTACCCCTCACTCCACATCAGATTGTCTGAAGAAATGGACGACTTTTATGATGAGCAAGACAAAAGCATTTTAGATTCTAAGGGGAACGTACCAGAAGAAGTAAAAGACACTAAGATGCAAGGGAGAGAGAGACACGAGCGAGCAAAGAAATGCAGTAAGAACTTTGAAGAGGCAGACTAGATTATGGCCTTGGCAGAAAGGGGTTAGAATGAAATGGGGCTGTTAGTCTGGGGTAAATAGTTTGTTCGAGACCGGCGGAAGGTTAACGTGGGCCAAGAGAAAGCTGTTTGGCCCAGGGAAGGTAACTGTGGGAGGACTGGCCGAGGACAGGGGAGAGGTTTTTGATAAGGAAAACGGGTTGGCCTGGAGCGTGGAAGGGGATGAACTAGGAAGAGGTTAATTTCGGAGAAGAATGGAGAGAAAGGAAGTCAACCGCAACAGGAGCGAGGAAAATCTGCAAAATGATGGACCGGGCAGGTAAGGTTGAGGGCAGGTGTTCCCTTATAAAGAGTTCTCCTTCGCGTTCCCACGGAATCATTTCCTTGTGACACTGCAACTGCATTCCTCGAAACTGCAGTCTCCGCGTGGCAAGTACCTTACCTTCATCGGGTTCCTTTGTCGCCACCTCCGCCGCCACAGCCTCCATCCAGAGTTTCTCCGATTTAACCGCCGCCGCAGTCTCCGAACACCAATCTCAATCCCAAGTACTCAGAGACACTTCCGGCAGTGCACTGTACAATGGCCGGGTGTTCCTACGCGTCCGGGCACCGAAGTTCCGGCTCGAAGGAGGATCTTCCTCTGCGCATGCGTCTGCCTTGGTCCCGCCCTCTGTAGCCAGGAAGGAAAGGGGCGCAGGGTTGAAAGGGCGTTCAGATTCTCCTGTCTGAAATTGGAAAATCTGGAGGGACCCTAACCATGGTTGATTTGTTCATTGCTGTGACTCTTAACTCCTGGCGTATTTATATTTGGGATGAATGGTTGGGCGACCACCCTCCAGGACCTGGAGCTGTTACAGTAACTTTTTTTAAGAGTTTGTGCTTTTTTAGACCCGTTTCTTCACCATCTCATGGAATATTTCTAAGTCTTGACTTATTTATCATCACACCCACTCCCTGGCTAGATGAGATGGGTGGTGAGGTGGGGGATAAAATTGCCCCTCTGTACTTCCAGAACCTGGAGGAACTCTTCAGATGTGAAGGAAAAACAACTGTGGGCCTGATTTGCCCTAGGGGTTGGGAAGGGACTATTAATATTTAGGGGGTCTCTTACCAGCAGACAGGCATGTTACTAGTGACCACCACGAATGGCCTGGGGGGCTGAGGAAGTCACCCTCCCCAGGCTGGCTCAGAGGTGGCTTCTGAGAGGGAGGCAGACAAGGCTGAGACCTGAAGGATCAGGAATGCAAGTTTAGAAAGGTCTCAGGCAGGGTGGCTGTCCTGGTTAGTTCTTGTTGCGGTAAATACTTCAGTATGATCGAAGAATATGAAAGGTGTTCCAACTTTGAGAAATTTTAAACTTCTTTTTGGAAGGGGGGCCAGTACTGGATTGCACCTAATGCCCTACCACTAAGTTATATCCCCAGCCCTTTTATTAAAACTTTTTAAATTTTTGGTAGTGTGGATTTAAACCTAGGGGCACTTTACCATCGAGTTTCATCTCCAGTCCTTTTTGAGACAGGGTCTTGCTATGCTGCTGAGCCTGGCCTTGAACTTGCAATTCTGCCTCAGCCTTATGAATTGCTGGAATTACAGACTTGCACAACTGTGTCCAGCCAGTGTCATGAATCTTTAAGTAAAACCCTCAATACACATTTTCCCAAGGTAGTCTCATGGCATTCTGTATAGGTTCCAAAGGAATTTATAATTCCCCAGAATGAATCACTGAAGTTCAAAAGGGAAGCTGAAAGAGCTGAAGCCATTAAGGTCACTAGGTGCCAGGCCACACGGGGCCTGAATAAACTATATTAAGCAACTTGAGCTCCTTTTACCTGCAAGGATTGGAGAAGGGGACAAGGGTAAGGGACTGCAGAGATCTGTAAGCTGGTATCATAATCCAGAGACTGGCTGAGACCAGACAAGAGGAAGAACTTCCTAGTTTACATTCTCTCAGGACCTGGGAGATGTGGAAGACAGACCTTGAGGTCCCTTTTTGCCACACCCCATAGGCAGGAACGACACAGATGTATCACCAAGGGAGGCCAGCAGAGGGTGCTGTTGCCTAGCACACACATCTGTCGCTAAGGGGACTTCCCAGCTAAGGGGACCCAGAGCAGTGAAGGGATCACTCTAGCTAGGGCCAACAGTAGCCCTTTCTCATGTTTAGATGCCCCATTTTAGTCCTCAAGACTAGTCAGCCTCCCCTCTCCCTTGTTTTTATAGGCCACACAGCCTTCAAAAGGCTTGGAGCTCCAGTGAGGATAGCTGGGCTGAGCCAACCACTCCTGTACTCTGGCATTCTCCCCCATAACATGCAAGGAACACATTATGTATTGAAAGAATGGAGAAACGAAAATGGGAAGGACAATAGTTAGGGAGATGCAACCCCAAAGTTCACCCCTATTAATTCCCTTCCTCCCCTCACACCAACCCAGGATTTCATCAACCACTGTGCTGTCACTGGCAATACTGCAGTGGGAGCTCTGTGAAGAGTCAGAGATGCACTGGCCATGCTGTACCCCTAGCTTTGCAGGATGGTTGAGGGGACAGAATAAATTCCCATTATATACTGGCTGAGAAATGAAATTCTTGGAATTTCAGTTAGCTTGGACCACAAGAAACAGGCAGGGCCAACAGAAAGCAACACACACACACCAGACTTGAGGTGCCTGGTCAACCAATATCCAGTGACAGCCCTGAACAAACCACTCCTGTTCTCTCCCACCAGAATTGCCTGTCCCTCTCTGCCTCTGGACCTGTTCCACACTTTCTAATAAAATACTCCCATGAGGATTTGGGATTATGAGAAGTTTTGAGAACCACTTTTAAAAGAGCTACTGATATATTGGAATAAAGGGATATACTTAGCACCAAAATCCAGGCCAGGCAGAGGAATCCCTCAATGTTTAATGGATAAGTAAATAATTTCCCCTTGAAAAAGCCTCCCCATCCCAATTAAAGTTCAACTGCAGTAACACTTCAGGGTTTTGATCCTGCTTCCTTCCTGCTAGGAGGTGCCATGTCATTTATTGAAGGAAAACAAAACAAAACAAAACAAAACAAAACAAAACAGGGCAAACACATTTCTTAATAAGTGCAGTTTGTTAAAATCCTGTTAAAACATGGGTAAAGGGGAAGTAAGAATAATCAAAGTATATCACTGTAGGAAAAACTTGAGGTCTGGCACCTGGGAGGGCATTGGAGAGGAGGCTGTGGGGGAAACTTCATATTCTGAAGGGAAAGAACCCCCCACCTTCCCTTCACCCTCTCACCCGCTTAATCCCACCAGAAACTACCAAGACGCCCAGAATAAAAGGTTTCAAGTTCAATAGTCACACTCTCTCCAAATACAAAAAGCAGTTACAATTCAACTGAACACAGAAGCTTGTGTGCAAAGTTACGGGGAACTGAGACATCGTATAAAAAGTTAGGTTAAAGATGATTCTGTGGTTTTTTTTGTTTGTGTGTTTTGTTTTGTTTCGAGGGTGTGGCTCTTCCTCGGTCACCTGAACTCAGCAAAGAAATGGTTATTTTGATGAAGTATCAACGGCCGACCCACAGTAAAAACAGACAAATTCTAAAAATTAAAAAAAAAGCATAATTACCAAAAAAATATGTTGCTGCTTCCTCCCTCCACATTTGCTTTTGCTTTTTTAAACTTTTTTTTTTTAAGTTTTTGATTTTTTTTTTTTTTTTTTAATCCTGAAAAGTAGACAGTAAAACAGCTCCTGGAAGAATTTACAACCAACTGCATGAGGGTCTGGGAAGCTGAGGGGCTGGAGCAGGGCTGGGAGGAGCAAACAGGAAGGGGTCTTCCCCTTAGTCACTGTGGCCTCACTGATGACCAAGGGAAAGAGGGATTTTCAGTCAAAAAGGGGCAAGGAGGAAAAGGAAGAGGTGGGAGATGGAGGGGACAAACAAAATAAAAGGTCATTGTTGCCTGTTTGAATCCAGAGAAAATTGCCTGGCCTGTGGGGGAGAAGACCCCTCCCCCAAAGGAGAGGCAGTGGGCTGGAGGGAGGCAGCTCTGGGATGACCCCATCCCCAGCACCACAGGACCCGGTGGGGGTAGAGGAGGGGCCAGAGAAGGGGCCGAGGCAGGCGCTGGTGCAGGAAGCCGGCAGCGGCCCCGGGAGCCTCCAGACACACTGGCTACTGTGTGCTTGTGCCACCCTGTGTGCTGCCGGAGTAGCTCCCGTAGTCGTAGTTCCCATAGTATGGCGGCCACTGGCCCTGGTTCTGATAGTACTGGTTCCACTGCTGGGCATACTGGAGAGAGAGACCAAGAGCACCAATTTGTCCTTCATCCACTCTACATTTTGCTCCTCCCCTGGCCAACCCTTGCCTAGGTCAGTGATAGCCAGCAACACGTGGGACCCCTGATAGAATCAAGGCACCTTGGGAAGACAAACAGCTGACCTCATGCCACATGGGTGGAAATTTAAGAACTGAAGCCCAGGTCTCCTGGCTTGTCAACCCAGTGTCTTTTCAAATGTAGTTAAATATCATATTTAAAAAAACAGGTATGGTGGCCTAGCACTAACTTGAGGCAGGACTTGGAGCCCCCTAGCCATGGTGCTGAAGCAAGATTTGGAAGCCCTGCTCTGCCAGCCCTTTCCTTTTGTTTGCTGCACCATGGACAGAGTAGGACACCATTTATTTAGAAACCAGTGCAGATATGTTCACCAAATGGACTGGCTGAACCAGATGACTGCCAGTTAATTTCAGGGATAAGCAGGGGCTAAAATCTTGAAAAACATACCCAGGAGGGGCCCTTGGAACCTTCTCCATCCCATTGGAGCCTGACTGGTACCTACCTGCTGATACTGGTTATAGCTGGGCTGAGGGTAGGTCTGTGCCGTGGGCGGTGGTGGCGGAGTATAGGGGGCTGGGTTGTAGCCACCGTAGCTTCCATAGTTGTAGGCAGGTGGTGGCGGAGGTGGAGGTGGTGGGGCTGTATAGCCCTGGCTATAACCTCCCTGGCTGTAGGGTGGCTGGCTGTAACTCGGCTGGAAAATAAGAGAAAAAGACCAAAAAGTTCTATGAAGCAGCCAGTTCACAGCTGGGATTGACAAAGGGCTTTTGTAAGTAGTGAGCCCACAAAGGCACTTCCCTGGTGGAGGCTATTTAGGACTGAGAAGGTGAATAAGCTCCGACATGGTAGGACAGGTTAGGATGCCAGCCCTAGGGCTGTATTTGGGACTCTTAATTCCAGCTTTGAGATCCTGGGTGAGTAAGGCACACGGCATTTCTTGAAATCCCAGTTTTGTTTTGTGTAAAATGAGAATCACAACAGAACTACTCCTTCAGATTATCTTGCTGAATGTATTCAACATGCTGGTCATGTGATAAATGGTAGTTGTTACTCAAAGATCTGAGAAAAATAGTAGTGACAATTACTGTTTCTCATGTATAAGCTACAACATTAATTCCTTTAATCTTCAAGTCAACTCTGATGTGAAATGGAAGCCAAGGCTCAAGAAGGTAAAATCACCGATCCAAGGTTAAATAGCTGAAGGACTGACTCCAGGTTTACCTAGTCCCAGAGCCTCAACCACTAAGCTACGGTACCCTCTCTCTCTTATAACAAACCTTGGAAATGAGTTCTACTAACACCTGTACTCCTTTATGGGAAAATAAGGCTCAGGCAGATGAAGCCAATTGTCCAGGGACATAAAACCAGGTCATAATGGGGCTGGGGTTTGAACTTATGCCTGACCAACTCCTATCCTAGGAAATGTTCTAACTAGACTGGAACTGGGAAACACTCATCTGTCTTCTGGCAGCTGCTCCCAGGACTGGCACATGGAAGGTGCTCAGGAAATGGCTGTGCAATAAACAGAGACTGCCCTAGTCAGCAGGAACCTATGTGCACCAAAGACTGAGCAATGACTTTCCAAGAACTGGAATAGAGCCCAGAAGCTGCATAGGGCTGGTTTTCTCAGCACAAAGTTCCAAACCAACTGTGGGGCACTGGTCTCCAAACCCTATGACAAGAGATCATCTCTTTTCAGCCTGAACAAAGCATGACTCTAACTGAGGACTTTCTTAGGAATTGGGTGAGGCTACCAACAGCCAAGAGACATAAACATGTGCTGGAGGGACCAGCGCTTCTAGCTTATTCCTGAGGATGATAGAAGGAGGGGGAAGTTCTGAGCAAGGCTTATTTACTCCCTGGTTTTGGGGAGACTTGGCAATGTCCAAGGTCAGCCAGTGAAGAGCACTACCAGGAAGAAAGGAGGACAGGTTGCAGGGAAGAGTGGAGGCTGTGGCTCAAGCATGTGTTGGCGACTCCCTCAGACCCATGGACTCTCCTATGTTAAAAGCACATGTGTGAACAAATCTGTGTTCCCTCACCTGTGGGGGGCTGTAGCTGCTGACCGTAGGGGTGCTGGTATTAGCGCTCGAGCCAGGGATGCTGCTGCTCTTGTTGTAGCTGCCAGCACCTGGTGGGTTACGAGCAGGGCTATAGCTGGGTGGTGGCGGCGGCTGCTGTGGTGGTGGTTGTGGTGGTGGCGGCTGCTGTGGTGGTGGCTGCTGCTGGGGAGCCCGGTTATAGCTGCCTCGGTTGTTGGAGTTGTTGTTATCCCGGTTGTTGTTACCCCAGCGGTTCTGGTTGTAGCCACCACCTCCACTGCGGTTGAAACCTGTATTGGAGAAATCAGCAGGAGAGGGAGGCCCTATCACTCTCAATGCACAGACTCCAGGACCTGGCCTGCCTTGGTGACTGCTATGGCTTCCGGCATGGTCAATCAGGCCCAGAGGCTGTTCAGTTAAAGTGAACCAATAAGCAAACCCTCTGGCTTCTCCAGAGTCCTGGCATGCTCCCGCTCTGATAACAACAGGTCTTCATTGTCTGCTGGCAGGTTTGTCTCCTCTCCTGGCCTGTGAGCCTAGGGAGACAGAAATCAGGGCTATCCTGGCTATGTGTTATTGTGTTCTGCATTTCAACACAGAAACAAACTAGAAAGAGATGTTCAGGAAGAATGCACCAATGGCAGCCATGAACAAGTCAGATCAAGTCCTCTTCAGGCTTGGTCTGAAGGTCTTTTTGCTGTTGTCTTGGGCCTAGAACTCTCTCACACTCCTCCTGGCCAACTCCTTTTGGGCTTGTGGACCTCAGCTTTGACATTAACTCCTCAGGAGATCTTTCCTGAGCCCTGGTGTCTTCTTGCAGGTTGGTTCAGGGTCATCTCAGGTCACAATATCCTTGGGCTTTCTCATTAAATTATTTGGGTCATAGCTATGTCCCCAGAACTATTCAGCATAAGCCTGAGACAGAGGAGAGCTAGAACATATTTGTTAAATTATGAATAAAGACTTTTTATAGAAAGCAGCGCTCACTAAAGACTTGGACTCTGGATCATTGAATACCAGTTTTGGTTTAAGCTGGGTGATGCTAGGCAAATTAACTTTCTAATGAGTCTTCTTTTCCATTTGTTTTAAACCCCCAACACTCCTAATATTTGCAGCATGCCAGGTTTTCAATAGGTTCCAGGATTCCTCAAGGAGATCATGGTCAGATGGGGGAAGAGCCACAGAAATAGATGACACCATGTCATATAAAAGGGCAAAAAAGCAAGCCCAGGGTTGTAAGATAGTGGGAGAGCTTCTTGAGGTCCCACAGTCTGACTCTCCCTGGTTTTCCCATAGCTGGAGTTCAGTAAGCTTTAGTGCTGACTGAATAGCAGTCAAAGCCCAACCCCAATGTGGGAATAAAAGGTAAGGAGAACTGTGTGTTTGAGATGTCTCACCTCCTCGGTAGTTGCCTCCACCACCACTGCCTCCCCCTCGGTTCTGGAAGCCTCCTCGGTTGCCTCCAGGGGGGCCTCTGTTGTCATAGCGCTGGAAACCGCCGCCACCTCCGCGGCCCCGGAAGCCACCACCACCTCGGTTGTCAAAGCGCTTTTCAGGGGGTGGCCCAGCCTTGCGGCCCTCCTCGTTGTACTGCCTCACCAGCTTGTCTGCTTCTTCCCGCTGCAGCTCAATGAACAGAACTTCATCCAGGAAGTCCCCGACATCAGGTAATGTGAAGTTGGCTAGGAGGAAGGAAACAAAATGGTCAGTATCTTCTGAGGTCTGGTCTCCTCCACCTCCAGAACACTGGTGGAGGAAACTGGAAGAGTGAATAAGAGAGAAGTTAAGAGAGGCTGACTCTAACGCTGTCAGGGAATGAAAAGACCCTTTCCTGAAGAGGTGGCTAAGCCCCACCCGAGTGCAGTGTTTAGCTCTCTCCAGCCTTGCCCCAGGGAGTGGGTTAGGCAAGTGGATCCACATCCTTATTTTTACAGAGGGGCAAACCGAGGCTTGCCCAGTCAGCCCAGCCAGCGGGTGCCAGAGGAGGCCTTCCAGTTTGAGCTCCCACATACTCTTTCCCTCATGCTTTCCAATTCCATCTAGTTCGAAAACCCTGCCAGAGTGAAATGTGGAGTTTCACCATTCACAGCTGTGGGGGACCAGGAAGGGACAAAGCAGAAGATCACAAAAGGAATAATTAGGGAGCAGGGAAGGGCACACTGAGTAAAGAGCTCTTTCTCTTAAGGACCCTGCTGAGTTGGCTCTCTGGGCATCACTTATTTCCTACCTTTCATTTCTAAGACCGCATGATCAGGGACATCCTTCCCTTCCTCATCGGTGCGCTTTATTGTTCGGTCTTTCAGGTCCTCGTCAGTGGGACAAATTACAATAGCTTTTCGTTGGAAGCCTTCAAATGGTCTCATTTTTCGTCTCTGGGCTGACCCATAAACATTTGTCTAGGGTAGGTAACAGAAAAGGCAAGAGATGGTGCATTAAGAGTTGTTTTTCCTCTGAGGGGTATTATGTAGGCCAGGGGAAAGAAAAGCCTATTAGTGCTCCTCCTAAGCAGAGACTCAGGAAAATGCCCTGCTTCACTTTTATGATTCTTATGTCTGCCTTGGCAAATGTACTGATTTGAAAAGAGGGATAGAAAGTAGCAGCTAACAGGCAGAGGGCAAGGGATTCCAATGAGTGGGTTAATATTATTTTTTTTACCTTGTTTTATACCTTTATTTTATGTGGTGCTGAGGATTGAACCCAGTGCCCCACACATACTAGGCAAGTGCTCTACCACTGAGCCACAACCCCAGCCCTGGGTTTTGTTTTTAACTTTCTGTTTTGGGGGAGTGTGTGGGGGGTTTACCGGGGATTGAATTCAGGAGCACTCAACCACTGAGCCACACCCCCAGCTCTAATATTTTATTTAGAGACAGGGTCTCATTGAATTGCTTAGGAGCTCTCTAAATTGCTGAGGCTGGCTTTGAACTTGTGATCCTCCTGGCTCAGCCTCCTGAGCTGCTGGGATTACAGATGTGCCACTGTGCCTGGCTAATCCTGCTTTTTCCCCCTTGGGATTGCATTTTACAACTTCTTTCTCCATACGTAATACATGCTCTTGGTACAAAGTCAACAAGGTACAGAGTTAGGAGTAAAAAAGGCTTTCCATCTGCCTATTGCCAGCACTACTTCCAGAGATAACTTGTACTGAATTTCCTCTGTACAATTCTACCAACACTTATGCAATCCTTAACATGAATGGAATTGTACTATATACTTCAGAAGCTCTTTTCATGCACTGTTTCTCAAATTCTTCTTTATGGTGTTTTTTTTTTCTTTTTTCAAAACAATCATATAGAATCTATAGTACAGATAGCCCATAATTTAACCAACCCCTTTTAATAGTTATGTGGACTGTTTCCCTCAACACTGTGCTGTCGTTCTATCCTTTGCTCTTTCTCTGAAATATCAGTCTTACCCACAAGCTTCTAACCAGGGAGCTTGACAATAACTCATGCTTCTTCAAGTGCAGTCTGCTACTTCTATGTCTTTTCTTCTACCTCCAAAGCAGGCAGGTGTGGCCATGGAGCAGTGCTCCAGAACACCTGCACATAACCAAACAGCAACAGCAGCTTCCACCAACCCAATATCTACCACACACCAGATCTTCAGGACTGCAGAGGCTCTGTGGACTCTGTCTTTGCATTTGTATCTTGTGGACACTACTGAAAAAGCATGCAGCCAAAACCTCACTTTAGATTTCCTGAGACTTCATCTATAGAGGTAGGACCCAGCACCTATGTGGTATCTTCCCTCTCTAAACTCAGGAACTCAACAGAAGTGAAGTGATTAGTTGTTAGCTAAACAACAGCCTTCAGTGGCTTTGCAGGGAGAAGCTGCAGAAGAAAGAACAGTCTGTAAAGAGGTCTGCAGAAATCAATAAGAAAATACTGTATTCTCAGAACATGGTCAGCAGGGAAGAAAGAGCTCCAGCAGAAGTCCTGGTGTGGCCACTCACTATGGTCAGTCTCTATAGCTGCTTCCTCTGTAGCCTCCTTCCCAGGGCTGGTGAGGACTAACTGGGGGGGGGTGACCACTAAACAATTAACAAAGTATAAGGTATCTGAGTAGGGGCTATGCAGTGGCCTCCAGGGTAGGAGACGCCTCAATAAGAAGTAGGTGCATTGTGGGACAATTTGGCAGACCTTGGCTCTAATGTGACTTGGGCTCATCACACCTTGTGACCCTGGGCAAGCCACTCAGAGCCTCAGCCTGCTTTTCTGTAAAATCAACTTACTGCATATTTATTGAGTCTCAAGACTTGAAAGGAGCAAACAGTATGAATGTCTTCTGGTTGCTGTGAAGACTGAACCAGTTCATGTGAATAAAGAATCTTGTCCCAGCCCAGATCCTGGCTCGAAGCCAGTCCTGGACAAATGTGAGCCCTGTTGGTATGGTCATCACTGGGTGGGATACTTTGGATAGTTATACTGTAGTGGTAACTGGAAGCAGCTTGGACTAAAGGGAAAGGTTAAACTGCAATGCTCTCCCAAATGGAAAAGCAGGGACTATGTATGAGGTAGGGTGGAAAGTACAGTGGCTTTGCAGAAGCCTAAGGCCGAAATCCTAGTTGTGTCCTTTAGTAGTTTTGAATATGTGGACAAGTCCCTGAATTAGTCTGAGCCTCAAGTTTCTTCATCTGAAAGTTAGGGGTTGTATCATCTTTCTTCTGACTCTGGTGAAAATTTGCAGATGTAAAAACCTCTGACATGTGGCAGGGAAATAAGTCAACACACAAGGAGGATCTGAAAATATGGTGAACAGGATTGACATTGTCCTAAGAGAGGTTTCTCAGTGGAAAGTACCAGGGAAAATTAAGGAAAAGACAGGTGCAAGGGACCCTCTTCCAAGATAGAAGGAATAGAAGCCAGGGATGTGAGCACAGACCTGTGGGGGTTCCAAGCACTATAGGTACATCTGTTCTCTAAACCAGCCATTTCCCCTGGGCCTGACATAAAGTAGGGAAAAATGTTCTCTTTCACTTCCTATAGGGAAAGTCCCCTTATGTTCTAAGGAGGGTAGTAACAGCACACCTATGGGGCCTTTAGCACTGGTTCTGGAGGGGCCAGGGGCCACTAACAGGAGAAAAATTAAGTCCCTACTCACTTTTTTTTTTACTCCATTCCTAAGAGTGCTGCAGAATGTGGCATTCTGCTCATATGAAGACAGAATTTGGCTTCCTCAAGCTAAGTAATTTGAAAGTTTTCTCCTGACACAAAACTCATGTGTAGGTACCAGAGTGAACATGACTCCAGCCTATTTTCTGATAATCCGTTCTCTTATTCAATAAGTACCAATTATCCTAATCTGAATCCTCTGCACTCTAAGGGCACTGGAGTTTTCCTATGTGGCAGAACTGTCCTGTCAACGTCCCAATGAGGAGATAAAGAAGCAATGCTACTGACAGGGTAGCCCCTGCAGCTTCACAGAACAGGAGGAATGGGGGTGTGCAGTATGGACTCATAAACAGCTGGCCTTTGTCTCAAGATGAGGCTTGAATCTGAGAACAGATCCTCAGATGCTCTGAGCTGACACGCCCTCTCGGGGAGGGCTTTAAGAGTGCACCTCCCCTGCTTACTCCTTGGCTTGGGTAAGGAGTAAGAAGGGAAGAACAACATCTAAACTGTGCCAGCAGAAATGTAAGTGCTTGGCTTTCCTGGAGGAAAGGGAGTTAGCTGCTGGTGGCTGTTACCACAGCAAACATGGTGAGGTCAGAACCCTGGGCCAGCCCAGCACTACTGTTGGTCACCAGGGCCCCTGGCGGCTGTTGCTAGGAGATAGTCACAACAGCAAGGTCAGCTTTTCCAGCCACATGGCTTTTCTGCATAGCTCCTACTCCTCCCAACCCCAGCTTGAAGATGCTGACCCTAAGAGAGGAGCTGGACTATGTTCCCTGGTTCCTGACAACCCCCAAAACCTGATGTGGGCAGGACAAAGGTCAGGTTTCTCAGAGAAGCTGCATGGTGAGTTCTGGTGTGTGAAAGTCTGAGGAAATGAGGGAGGAAACAGCAGGCACAGGCAATAACTTTTGCTGACATCCTGAGTTCTCTAAAAGACCTACTATGTGTTTACCTGTCTTAACAGGGTTAGGCTGGCAGCAGGAGACACCTGGCTGGATCCCATAAGAACAAATTTAAAGCTGGTGAGGAAAAAGTTTGCTCTAGGTTGAGGTGATGAACCCCAGTGGAAAGGACTCCACATGTAGGAAGAGAACTGGCCAGAGCATCAGGAATGGAACAGACTTGAGGCTCTGGGGACCGTGGGGGTGGAGGGAAGAAACTTCCCCTTCTCCAAAGCATGCCAACAAGAGGTGGTTTATTTTGAAAATCTAATCTAGGTAACAAAGATTCTAATTCTTTTTGGCCAGGACCCCAACATCTACCCTAGGAAGTACCCCATTGGACAAGCTCTCAGGTGGCCCTTGCCCTGGGTTTGATTCAGGAGAAAGTGTGGCACCTGCCAACAGGGACACAAGCAGGATTAGAAATGTACACTGTGAGGGTGAGACCAGGTTGGCAAAGTCACTGTCCCCAGCCCTGACTCTGACCAATGCCCAGCTGGGCCTTTTAACCCACAGCCTTCAGGAGGGCAACTTTGTTGTCTCACACAGAGCTTCTGTTCTATTTTCATTTTTAAGGCCCTCTGATAACCTAGAGATAGGGCAGAAACCTCACTCCAGGGGCTTCCCAACTGCAACACTGTCTCCTGAAGCAATGTGGCCTTCCAATCCTTGTTTTTCCTTCCTCTTTCTGTAGCTTTTTACTACCTAGGCAAATTTAGTCATATCCATCCCTGAAGAAAATGTGACCGTGGCTCCAGACTGTCCTGGACAAAATCTCAACTATTTTTATCACTGTCCATATCCTGGCCCAGATACCTCACACTTCCTGACACCTTTCCCCAATTTCCATCACAGCCCCAAACATTATGGGACTGGCCATCTGCAAAGTCAGCCGAGCTGACCAGTATACCAAAAGCCTGATTTTAGGCAGGCCCTTCCCTTAATGAGATCCCCGCTGGTTCACTTTCTTTCTTGTTATTCCTTCTGATGTTCTCAGTATTTCCCTCTGATGCGCACCTGATCTGAATAGGCTGTGATGCAGAATGAAGCTCCAACACACTTGAGAGCTTGTGTCTCATGAGATAAATCCTAGGATAAGGTCTGGGGTTCTGGCTAGACAAAAGTAGAATCTGGCTACACAACCCTGCCTAGCTTATGAAGGTAAGTTCTTTTTTCCTAATAAGGATGAGCATTTCCAAGGTCAACCTTGAAACAGGAGGCTTAGAAGAGCCAAATGTAGGTACAACTGACAACCTAGGAATAGAAGATCCTAGGCTGGGATTCAGGGACTTTCCTAATAGTACTGGCCTTACCTTTGGAAGATCTACCTAGCCCAGAAGACAGCTATGCATTATTAACTTATCCCTCACTGCCAACACTGGTGAGATGAGAAGTACGAGAATCTGGCCAGCTGTCTGTTCTGAACCTTCTATATATACACATATACCCATTCTTTCTTTCTTATAACCAGGGTTGTTGGGAACCAACTTTTGGGGTTTAGGCCCAAACAGGTCAAACACTGCCTTCAGACTGCCTCCCCAGGGATGAGTAACCTAAAACTTCAGGACCTAAGTCCATTCTGGGGTTAACCAAAAGACCTGGGGCCAACCAGAGAACCCGCCTCCTCACTTTCAGAGGTTAGGTTCTTTGCCTCACTGTTGGTTGGACTTGCATATCCCCCCACTAGGATGCAGCCTTTGACATGTCCCTGAACAAGCCACCACCAGCTAAGAAGGCTGACAGTGAGCCTTTACAGTGTTCAGGTCTTTTGTGCCTAGCTGAGATGCAGGGGATCTGATCTCCAGAGAGACCCACATAGGCCCTTTGAACAGAGATGATCCCCTGACTATAATCCTTCTATACTGGACCACATAATTCATGACTTTCACAGTTGATCTAACCCACAAATCAAGAAAAAAACAGGCAAGAAATTCCTCCTAGGTTATCCAAAAGATAACACCTCAGGGTGTTAAAACCATAGCACATCTAGGTGTTTCAGAAAAATGAGTCTAACTGGGGTCAAATCAAACTAAAATTTCAAAACACCCTGATGAAGAGAAGGGGGAAAAGTGAGGCCAAGGGATTAAAAAATAAACAAATCTCCAAAGGTAAGAGAAGGTTGTTTGGGTGCCTTATTGATGGGGTCAAGCTGGAGCAATAACCATGGATGGCTTTTGGATCCTCACCCCATGTGAAAGCAACATGGTCCCTGGAATTCTTTCCTGACAAGTCAACCACCATCCCGTCATCAGCTCCACCTTCATCAGGATCCCTTCGAACTCAGGGTAACCAAGTACCCAGAGCTACATGTACAGAAGGCATTTTAGTAAGGCTAAAATGTTTACATGTTTGCTCACTCACAGGTTCTTAAGATAGCACAAATGTAAGGCTTGTTCATATAACCACAAATACAGAAAATAAGGAAACACCCTTTGCTACTTGAGGAAGTCTTTGGGACAAATGTTAAGTATGACACTCTACAGGCAACAAACACGTGGAACTCATTACTCTGAGACAAGGATCCTTAACCATTTTGGGTCACTCATCCTTTTGAGTAATGTTGAAAACCTTGGTCAACATTTCTGTCCTAACTCAAAACTGCGTTGTTTTTGAAAGAACACATCTGTACCTGTATACAAAATTCTACATTTGATTTCAAAGGTTCACCTGATGTTAAGAACCCAGCTCTTAATATGTCTTAAATCTGTATCTCCTAGTCATAAAGACTTGCTAATTAACCTGGGCTGTGCCTCACCTATACAATAAATAACAATCATCACAGCTGCTGGGTAACTGCGTGGTAGCACCTAGTAGGTACTATGTAGATCTGTGAGGATCATTATGATCCCCAGTTTATAGACAAGGGGACTCAGATACAGAGGAAAGTCAGCTGCCCACAAGGGCACCAACTACAAAGTAGCAGAGGCGGGATTCAAGCAGTCTGTTAGGCTCAGAAACCTATGCCTCTTCCATTTTGCTAAGTGGCTCTTACCTGATAATGTTCTTTGAGGCTGCTACTGATCCTGAGCTAGTAGCCTAATCATGGCTCCAAACCCCACCAGATGTTTGGGCTCAGAGTTATGTGAAGTCTGTTAACTATAATCTCATGTATGGTTGACCCTTAGAATAGCATTGCTGATGAAGAGCATTATGGGGAAAAGAGAAATGGACCAGAGGGGAATTCCTAGGTAACCTATTAGTCCTCTCCCCTGTCCTGAGGACATGCTGGTCACCAGTAAGTACCTGATCTAGAATATAGTTGCGTTTCTTGCGAGCAGCAATCTGGATGAGACGGTTGAGGCACTGGGTAGCCTGTTGGATCAAGACGTCCCAGCGACCAGCATAATTCCTCTGCCGGCGCAGGCCCATTACCTGTGGGCAGGAGGTAGGTAAGGGTTGAGTGGTCCTAGGTGCGTGGTAGCACCTAGTAGGTGAGAGGCATGTAGGGAGAGGCCAAGGGTTGTCCTTACCCGCATCTTATCCATAATGGCATTGGTACCCAGGATGTTGTACTTCTTGGAAGGATTGGAGGCTGCATGTTTGATGGCCCATGTGGTCTTGCCAGCAGCGGGCAGGCCCACCATCATCAGAATCTACAAGAAAAGGTGAGGGAAAGTATGATGTGAAATAGCAACAGTGTATGGCATGGCACCACCCTGGCTTGCTGGTAATTGTGAGAGAATGACTCTGAACCTCATGTTGCCTCTGAAAAACGAAAGCAAAAATAATATCTATCTCACCATATTGCTATTAGAATTCAATGACATGAGACTTGTCCAAGTACAGGGATTAGCATAAGGTGAATAAGTATGCTATTAGCATTTACATTTTTTATTCAAGGATTAAGCAGTCTTTGACAGGGAAAGACATAGGGAAGGCAATCAAGAGGGACTGGCACATGGAGGGTGTATGAGAAATGGTACAACCTTCTTGGGAGTCTGAATGGGACCAGAACTATTTACTCAGTATTTTTAGAATTTAAGACAGGTATGGTGGTGTACATTTGTAATCCCAGCAGCTCAGGAGGATGAGGCAAGAGGCTTGCAAGTTCAAAGTAGCCTCAGCAACTCAGCAAGGACCAAGCAATTTAGTGAGACCCTGTCTCAAATTAAAAAGTAAAAAGGGCTGGGATGTGGCTCAGTGGTAAAGTATCTCTGGGGTTCAATCACTGGTATACACACACAAAAAGAATTTTGCCAACACCAGATGTAACTTAAGTGGTCAACAAAGAGAATGATTAGTAAGGGAGACTATTGACTATTAAACTGATGTTTAAAGCCATAGGTGGAGGTGCATGCCTATAATATCAGCTATTGGGAGACTGAGGCAGGAGGACTACTTAAGCCCCAGAGTTCAAGGCCAGACTGAGCAATATAAGCAAGATCCTGTGGGGAAAAAAAAAAAAAAAAGTTCAAAGAGAAAGAGAAGTTTTCATGTGGTTGGATAAAGTACACAAAACATAAAATAATGATAAGTGAAAAGGGCAGGATACTGACCTGGTTAAACCACATAATCTTTGTGTGTGTGTGTGTGTGTGTGTGTGTGTGTGTGTGTGTGTGTGTGTGTGTGTGGTGGGCCCAGGTACTGGGGATTGAACCCAGAGGATGCTTAAACGTTACTAAGCTACATCCCCAGCTCTTTTTATTTTGAGGGCCTTGTTAAATGCAAAGGCTGGTCTTATTAAACTTGTAACCCTTCTGCCTCAGCCTCCTGAGACACTGGGATTACAGGTATAAACCACAGCACCGCTACAAATTATCTTAGTTACGAGTGTGTATAAAATACACATATAGGGCTGGGGTTGTGGCTCAGCAGTAGAGCACTCGCCTAGCATGTGCAAGGGCCTGGGTTCGATCCTCAGCACCACATAAATAAAGGTATTGTGTCCAACCATAACTAAAAAATTAAACACACACACACACACACACACACACACAATCAAAAAGAATAAGATGAACTCCAATATTCTGAAAACAAACTTATTTTCCAATGGTGAAATTTTATTTTTTTGTATATTTCTTAATTTTCTAAAATAAACATAAACCATGTATGAGAAAAATATTGTTTTAAGAATAAAGGTCACCAATGTACTTATTGGAGCCAAAGGTCATTTGTCTTTTTTGTTCTTAGGCAGTCCTGTGTGAGTAGAATTGTTCAACCTCTCCCAAGAACACTGAGGGGCAGAATATACTCACTAGAAAGCCTGGAATCCTTTCTACTGAGGAAAGCATCCTTTCCTATAATTTGGCCTCACTGTAGGAGCAGTGTGACTGCTTCCTTTTGGAAATTTTCTAAGATTCAGGAAGACTGACACAGCCCCACCCCTGCTTGACCTAGGCTACACCAGTACCCGTCAACTCACCCTTAGAGCAACTTTTCAACCCTGAACCCAATCCGGAGAAGCTTGCCCCAAGGTGGCCCATGAGATGAGTTTACGTTTTTTTCACCATACCTGGCTACTGAGTGTCTCCTCTCTACCCTGGCAGCAAGGAAGCTGTAGAGGACCCAACACCACTTCAGTCTTCAGGACCACTCACCTCACACTCTGCCTTGCTCTTTGGTCCAACAGTGCCCCGGATCCGCTCACTAAGGGGAAGGTGCTGGATGAAAGTGAATCCCGGGAGGACAGAACAGTAGGGCTCTGCCCTCTGCCCGAAGTTGAACTCCACAGCACAATTCTTTACCAGAACATGAGGGTAGAGGGCCTGACCCCCCAATGCTTCTTTCTGGATTCGGAAGGCAATGCCCATCCACTTCCCATTCTTGGTAAATGAAAGTTCCACATCATTTCCACATTCAAAGTCCTAGAAGAGAAAGCCAAAAATAATTATCAACTCTTGGTTTAAGGCACTGGGAGCCAAAGTGGAAGAAAATCAGTACAGGGATAGAAATACAGCCAGTTTTGCAGACATCAGTGCATTCTTACTTCACATTTGGACAGTTGGACACCACCAAGAAACAGCTCAGAGAACAACCTACTCAAACCAGTTCTTACCCAAGACCTGGGAGTTGATAGATGGGGAGGAGCCAACTCCCCTACTCCCAGCATAAAGGGGTCTCCAAGTCATCTCAGGAGTATGGACTCGATGATGATAGCAGAATAGAGTGCTGACTTATTTTGAGGAGGTTGAGTGGCCTGGTCAAAACTGTATTTCAGGATCTGGGGTTGTGGCTCAGTGGTAGAGCACTTGCCCAGCATGTGTAGAGCACTGGGTTCTTAGCACCACATATAAATAAATGAACAAAATAAAGGCCCATCACATCTAAAAAATATTAAAAAAAAAACACAAAAATCTGTATTTCAGCAGGGCACAGTGGTGCACACCTGTAATTCCAGTGGCTCAGCAGGCTGAGATAGAAGGATCAAGAGTTCAAAGCTAGCCTCAGCAAAAGTGAGGTACTAAAGCCATTCAATGAGATCCTGTCTCTAAATAAAATACAAAATAGGGCTAGGGATGTGGCTCAGTGGTTAAGTGCCCCTGAGTTGAATCCCCAGTACAAAAAAAAAAAAAACCAAACAAACAAACAAAAAACCTCCAAACCAACCAACCAACCAACTAAACAAACAAAAAAACTGTATTTCAGAAAGCTCACTTTGAGGTTAAAAGTTTACAGTTACAAAAGTTTAAAACTTGGGATGAGATAACAGAATGAAGCCTAGTACAGGGTCCAGTTTCTGACACAAAAATACAAGACATGGTATTCTTTCACTCTTGAGACTTGTCCTTCAAGGAATAAGGGTGAGGAGCTTCCTCACTACCTTCAGAATCCCTAGAGTCCATTCATCTCTTAGATACACACAAGCTGAGACCCTGCAGGACAGACATGCCAACAATGGCCAGATTGAATCCTGACCTGAGTCTGTAGTGCAGTTTCTGCAGTGTCTTCCCACATAAGTATGAGAAATCCCAGTCACCTCTGCTGACATGGAAATGAACACTGTGGGTTATTTGTTACAGGAACTTACCATACTGCCCAGAACTGACAGATCCACTACCCACAGAGCCATCTGTCCAAGACACAAATGTAGGGTGATTCTTGCTAAATTACACCCATGCTAGTCCGGGACCTAAAGACCCAAACTCCTTAAGCCAGCATTATTCACACTGTACCATTTTGAAGTTCCATCTCTCACACCTGCTTGTGTCATGCTTTAGCTCCAAGAAATAAAATGCAAAGATATATGTGCAAAATGCTCATGCCAGCAGAGCGAAATATTCACCAATGGAGAAGAGGGAATGGCTAAGTTGCACAGGAGATTCATGCATGGGGACATAAGTCCTCCAAGTTACTCTGGTAAGTGGGAAAAAAGATAAGCTATTACAGTAATATTATCTCTACCAGCAAACAAGTTTCAGGGCCACAAAAAGGAAAGCTGGCTAAATTAAAGTAGGGTACCCTGCTGCCTACAGCACATTAGGTAGCCACTAACTATAAAGGTGCAAAACTAACCAAACTTCACTAAGGGGGAATTAGGCTACATCAATTATGGCCCAGACAAATGACAAATAAAGACAATATTAAAAAACAGAAGCCCTTTAGGTAGCATTATAAAAAGATCTCTAAGATAGTTAAGCAAAAAAGATTCAGAATAGCATGTATGATATGCTATATTTTATGTGAAGAAGAAAAGTAATAATCATCTTTCTTATAATTGGATATAGAAACCCTTGAGAATGAGTGGGTTCACACATTTGGGACAGGATATGTTAAAAAATGGGTGGATGAGGGCTATATACCTTCTTTTTGGTACCAGGGATTGAACCCAGAGGCACTCAGTCACTGAGCCACATCTCCAGTCCCTTTTATTTTGAGGCAGGGTCTTATTAAATTGCTTAGGGACTTGCTAAATTGGTAAGGCTGGCTTTGAACTTGCAACGATCCTCCTGCCTCAGCCTCGTGAACTGCCACTGGGATTACAGGTGCACACCACCGCACTAGACCAAATTTTTAAAAACAATGTTTTTAGTTATACATGGGCACAATATCTTTTTAAATTTATTTTTATGTGGTGCTGAGGATTGAACCTGGGTCTCATACACATGAGGTGAGTGCTCTACCACTGAATCACAACCCCAGCCTCCAAAAATGTTTTTAATATAACTAGCTCTATATCATCTGTGTAGACAAAGAAAGATGGCCAGGATTTGCTGTTAAACGGGGAAAAACACAAGGTTTACAATGCTTTGTAGAGAGTATAAACCTGGTCAATTTTGGTTAAAAAAAAAAATTTATTGAAAAGGGCATGAAATATACAGAAAGGCTGAGAAACTGTTTCAGATTAGAGAAATAGCAATAGAATGCATACATAATCCTGGACCAGATCCTTGTTTTTTTTTGGTTGTGCTGGGGACTGAACCTAGGGCCTTGTGCATGCGAGGCAAGCACTCTACCAACTGAGCTATATCCCCAGCCCTCTGGACCAGATCCTAAACCAGAAACCAAACTGCACTTAAGAATCTGTTGGAACAACTGATAAAATTTAAACATGGGCCGTGGATTAGATTATATCAATGTATAATTGATAGTTACAATGTGGTTAAGATAATAGCTTTATCCTTGAGAAATACACACTGAAATGTTAAGAAAAAAATATGATGTATGCAATCTACTTTCAAATGGGCAAACACAAATCTCACACACATACCCAAACCCCATGTACACACATAAAAATGGTAAAGCAAATGTGGTAAATTGTCAGAATCTGGATAAGGACCTCTAAGAATTCTTTATTCTTATTTCTCTAAGTTAAAATTATTTCAAATTAAAAAAAAAATTGTACAGTATGATGAATGGGGAGAGCAAAATACCAAAAGGAACCATCTATAGTCATTTCCTTGGGGACCTCATGGTACATTTTACAAACTGCTTAATTATTTATTGAGCACTTATGTGCCAGACATCACCGTATTTTTAATGGGTTAAATTAGAAGGGAACAGGTCGAGGAAGCCTGGCCCTAGAGTCAACAACCACGTCCCATAACAGTGATGGCTGGTCACTACTATCCAGGATCGCCTCAGGCAGCAGCTCAGACACCTTCTATCGTGTTGTCTTTTGCACCTGCTTCTGTTCTTGCAGAAGTGAACACACTATACGAAGTCAACTCAACTAAAGTGAAGGGAGAAAGAGAGAGGTTTTGAAGATGCCAGTGAGGGACAAGAGCCAATACCATTTACTTCAAGAGCACATAAGCTATTTCCTAGCAAAGGTCCAGTTGGAAAACATCACACTGGTATCTAGGAACAGAGGAAGACTGTACTTGGCAAATGTTCTTTGGGGGGCAATCTGACAGCTTTGCACAAAAGATCAGGGGGGAGAGAATAGCAGAATTTCACACAAAATAACAATCATTTTAGTCTGTTAAAGAAAGACAAAGAGATATGACAAAAGTGGCTGGATATATGGCGGAAAATGAAGAGAGGTGTCCCAAAAAAGTAGTCTGCAGACCAACATCTGGTTCTGCCAACTTCCACAGCTGCTAACACTCACCGCAAAGCAGCCAATCACATCATTTTCTGCAAACTTGTCTCCATAGTTTTCAAACCGGCTATTAGTGGACTTCTTCCCTGTGCCTCCATAGCCATAGGAGAAAGGCTCTTCGCCTGATGGAAGAAACAGGCACTGTCACATTAAACCTGCAGTGGTCATAAGAGGCTGCACAGCTGCCACATACTTTAAAGACAAAAATTATTTCCTTAACTAGTTTTATTAATCAGATGTCCCCTTTTGTGGAGAGGCGGAGGGTAAAAAGGTTGAAAGGAAGCCTTTTACTATTCAGAAATCCCAAGGCCTAGATGGCTTTTGGTTGTGTTAAATCTGGAGGTAGGGGCTGAACTGAACTGCTATGCAGAGAAAGGGAAAATATGGAATAACAGGAGTTTCTGGGATGGAGGAGGCTTTGTGCTTCAATGCCATCATTACCTGTGACATCTGATATTGTCATGTTCACTGATGTCATTAATGTTTTGGTGCCACTATGCTTTTGGTAGAAATCAGAAGATGGCTTTTGCTTCTGAAAGACAATGAGGACTAAACACTGGGAAAAGTACTAGATTTGATTTCTTCAACAGGCTACAAAACTGGGTGCTTAAAAGGGTCTGATCAAGATCCCAAACACTTTATAGACACCTGGGTTCTACAGTTCCTTGGTCAGAGCGTCCTAGCAGAATACCAGGAACTGACCAGCAAGAATTTTAGGTGTGGTTCTGCTATGAACTAGCTGTGTGACAACTTTGAAGTATTTTGAAAAACCTGTTGCAGTGAAACCAGGGCCTCCAAAGTGACTGGGAATGTGTAGGGTCAGAGAGATATTAAAAATAGTTGTTTTGCAGTTGTGCCTCTGGACATATTACTTGAACTTTTGGATTTTGTTTCCTCAACTGTCCAAAGCCCATATTTCAAAACTGAGACAAAATGAGAAGACTCATGATTCTTATATAAAACATTCTAATACATATCAAAATTAAAACTGTATTCTTTTTAACCTAACACTACTTTTTTTCTTTTCCTTTTTTTCCTGTGGTCCTGAGGATTGAACTAACCTATCTTCTTTTAAAGATTAGTTTTAAGTGCTTAAGCAATTATGCATAAGAACAGGAGCTCAAGTATTTAACAGCAAAACTTGAAATTAATTTAAAGGAGATTTATTAAATAAATACAACTATAGGGCTGGAGGTAGAACTCAGTGGTAAAGTGTTTGCCCAGCATGTGTGAGGCCCTGTGTTCCTTCCCCAGCACTGGAAAACATAAAACCAAACACAAGTATAAAATGGAAAACTATATGCCCAAGAAACACAACAGTATTCATAGCATGACCTAATCTGAATATGCATAAAAAACAAAAGAAATAAATGTTCAGAAGATTGCTGAGGTATGTTGTTCTATGAAAACTCAAAACCATTCAATG